AGTGAAGTCAGTTTTACTCAAGATTGCAGTCAAGTACCATTTTCCAATGAACTGACACAGTCATATTGGTAGTTGTGCTGAGTCTACACACGCTGTCATGTAGTTGTGCTAATACGAGAAATTTGGGAAAGTATGCTCTCTAGAAAGTACTATTCATGGTGCTCTTACAGCATGAAACATACTGCATTAGCAATCGTATCTTCAGGAACTAATCCAATTCCTTGAACAAAGTTTTCAGGAGATTTTAATTTTTTATTTTTTTTTCAAGAAGAGTGTACTTGACACTGCTTGTAAGGAAAGCAGGCAGCTGCGCGCTTGGAGAAAGGTACATCAATCAAACTGGAATAACACTAGGGGCAGGCAGACCCCTCTGTCTTTGTACCTGCTACTCTTCTGTGGCTTCAGGTGTTAGCATCATCCAAAAGAAAAAACAACTGGCCATGACAGTGCATGGAAAGGTCCCTGAACAATCCCAGCCCCTGTCTTGGGTAGAAAAAGATCAAGCTTAAGGAGTGAACTTAGCATCGCACAGTGCAGTCAGGTATCACTAAATTACCAAGCTGGCTCCAGCATCTTTCTGCTTGAGTCAGCTATTCTGCTGAACACAGACATGTATATCTTTTTTTACAGCATTTTTGAGTATTATAACCAATTCACAAGCTCCCTCTGCTGGGCTTCCAGCATAGCAGACTAATGGCAAAGCTCCTGTTAGGTTATTTGTAGACCGACCCATTTTTTTCAGCTTGTCTTTGGTACCTTCTACAGCATCAGTAAAAGTGTATGATCAAATTCGTGTGTATGGCTTTTCAGAAATGTGACAGAGAGAGGTTTGGTGTGTTAGATGCATATTAATTTTTTTTGTATGCATAGAAGAAGGCTTTTTCCACAATAATGTAAGTGTAGCTCTCACCTCCTAGAAGTAGTGATGCATCTATAAAAACATGATACTTGGCATTCAGTAATGCCTTCTGTTACATACAGGAAGGAGCTCTAAGAAAATACATACAGATCTTTTAAAAGAATTAAAGCTTACAGTCCTCAAAAATACTCAATACAGTATGCAGTTTTATGTAGCAGTGCTTTTCAAAAGGCAAATCATGAGCCAGCGGGCTTGTAGCAAGCATTCAGAGGAATGATGAAGTGCTGAAAATGTTATTCTCATCAGAGGCAAAGAAGAGCTAGTCCTGCTTCTTTTCTCTGCCTAATCTCAAGGTCAAGATTTCTGTCTACAGTTTTTGAAACACATAATCTAGAGCCTGGCATCGTCATAACCAATATATTACAAAACCTCTCTTAGTAGATTAAAAGTTGTGAAATTATTTACTTCCAACTGAACATTCTCGGGTTGAGAAAGACTGCTAACAACAAAAAAGAAGGATGTTCTGTGATTGCTGTATTTATAGCACTTCCTTGCTGACTTTTAACAGGGATTTACTGAGTAAAGTACCTGCCTTAAATAATTCACAAATTTGTGGAGTGCCTTAATGGGAGAAGGCATATTGTCTGCAGTGGCACAAGAGAAAAATGGAGAGACTTTAGAAACAATCACAGTGGCTTTTTTACTATGAGTAGGGCTCCAAGGCACAGGCAGTAGTACAAATACTAAGTATCACAGTGCTGCTTAAGTGTTATGCTTAAAGTAAAAGGTCTATGGGAACACAGCTGTCACCAGTGTGAGTGGAACAGTTATTTAACAGCACACAGCATCACTGGGCAATGATTTAAAACAGAGAATAAAGAACTGCACCGACCAATTGATAGGGAAATTGCAGGGGAAGTGTGGACTACATGTATTCCAAACTTTGATCTAGTGAGGAGACTAAAGTGAACACTTCTAATGTGATAGGACAGGTTGTGGTATCTTTAAAAATACAAAAAGAGTTAGCTGAAATATTAAACCACTACCAATATGTCTCTTAGTGTGAGTAGTCTTTTGGCTAAGTACTGACATGATAAAGAATAATTTTACCTACTGTGTAGCCAGCTCTTATTAAATGACATTCAAGAAGTTTCTCAAAAACTGTACTGTAGCTATGTCAAGCATGAAATTTTTTTCCGGGTAGCATATTGTTATACTGGCTTTATTCTTCATCAAAGCATCTGACAGCTTTCACCAGAGGACGTGATATCAATATGCAATTTATCCTTTCAAAGCCTTTGGGATGATCAGTCTATTTCTTTGCTGTCCCTAATTAAACATATTGCTTCAGTAATTCCCAGGGGCAAGGAGGCATTGTGACTACACTGAAATGAAAATTAACTCCGTAGAACCATGGCTACACCATCTGGTTATGATTAACATATTCAATAAGTGTTGTTTTGGTTGTAAGTTTTTATCTGTTTTATTAAAGATATTGTGAGGGACCATAGAGAGACTAGCCACAAATTTTATTTCTTGGCCAAGTGAAAGAAATCTGAGGAGGTTTTAACACAGATTTGGGTGAAATAAAATGTAGCAAGCCAATGGAGATCTTAAATATGATCTCTGATCATTCAACCTTTGGACGGCTACTAGTAATGATGATAAGTGAGGGTCTCTGTTCCAGCCAACCATTTCCTAGAATAAGAAGCAAATACAAAAATCCTTCACATTTAAGTGTTTTGGAAGCCAGGCAGCAGCCCTACAATGACTGTGGATTGAGGCACTTGGTAAGAGATATTTGGAATCAGCACAAACATTTTCTTATTTAGCTATTAGTTAGGACATATCTGCTACCTGCCTTAATTGTACAGGTCAGTCCAAGTGGCCAGAGAGGAGGTTGCTTTCAAGATATACAGGCTATTTTCTTCTCCATTTTCTTTGGTAGTGTCAAAGTGAGTCAGGATGGGTTGATTTTTATCATCCATTCCAATTGTGATTTTAAATACTTGTTTTTCATCTCTTTGCATGTGGGCTATTTTTTGCATTCTGAAAAAGAGGTGATATTCATTAGCATATTTCATTCTGCCGGCCAAAAGGGTATACTGTCTATACATTTAAATAATCATAGTGCTTAAGTGTTTGACTGTTTACACTTACTTTATATGAAAAAATGGTAACCAATGCATTTCTTGCTAGCTGATACTTCTTTATGCAGCATTGTGCAAGTCTGGATTTAGGTAGAAGTTTAAATCCATGTAAAATTCGCAATCAGCATTTTAAAACAGTCATTAATTCCATTTAAAAATTAAATGTGCTGGACATAAAAATAAGCTTAGCAAAACATGGTTTGTATTGAAAGCCGGTTGATTTATTAAGTAGAGGAACCATTACATACAGAAAATGAACTGATTATGATTTTTCTAATCTTAAGGCCTTTGCCTTCCAGAACTACAACGAGGAGATCTTGTCCTTCACATTTGTTTTTAAATGGTTACCTTACTAATCCTTTTACGAAGTATAAGATTTGGAGGACTAGGTCCCAAACTGCAAGATGGTAAAATGAGACCTCTGGAGGGAATGCAGTGTCTCACTGTGTCTCTGATTTCCTCGTTTGCTTAGGTTTTAAACCATTTCTTTAAATTCAGTGAAGCTAAAACAATTCATTTAAAAATGACTGGAAATGAGTGAAGTCTCCAGATGTTAATGGCTTGTTTACTTCTACTGCAGTAACATTAAAGAACACTAATCAAGATCAGAAGTAGGTTGTTCTCCAGGTTGTACAAATATCATAGTCATTTGGAGCAGCTGTAATAAAATGCCTTGTTATCAGGGAGCAAGGTAAGATAGACAAACAAGATTTTGCAGCCATTAGTTTTCAGTCAAGTTCTAAGTGGCATTAATTTTCCATTTGGCATCTTTTACATCCCAAATGAGAGAATATAGTTTATAACAGATGTTGCTTCCATACTTAATGCTAACCGTATTTTTTAAACTTGAAGAAGTAATTGTAAATCCTGTGATAATAAATATTATAGCAAAACCACATGTGTTCAGAAACATTTTAAAGACATTATCTTGATATTCCAGTTAGTTTTAGTATTACTATTTATCTTGTCAAGGTAGTTTCTACAGCCTTTTTCTTTTTTCTGCCTCATTTTGTCTTTTTTCTTTCTCAGTTCTCCTTTCATAAGTTGAAATATATTTTTGCAAAGTACAGCTGCTATACAGGCTTTCCCCTAAAGCCAAAACACTATGTGAACTGAACTATGTTGATGACCTAGGTATTGGTCAGTAACGTACAGGCGTGGCTGACACAGAGGAAATTGCTGACGGTTGCAGTGAATTGCATATCATTAGAGCTGTAGTTAAAAACCTGTAGAACCAATTCCTTACTGAATGCTTTAGGTCAGTAATTTGGAAAAGTTCATGTCTGGTGAAATACATGATTTGTCAGTCTTTCTTACTTTTGACACCACAAAGAGTAAGGCATAGGTCATGTCTTAGGACTGCATTAAAGGCAATATTGACCTGTTAAGATGATAAAGTCCTTTTTTCTTAGCATTTCTTGAAGTAAGAAGGCCTGATTCTTTTACCAAGATATTTCTGAACCCACATATGTAGTACCGATTTGCATAAAATTTAGTACCCTCTTCCCTGCTTCCTCTTGTTTGTATTATCTGAGAAAAATCTGTCTAGCTCAGTATGTCCCAATAAAGCCTGTAACATTTACTTCTTCTCTAGGTCTGTTTTCCTTTGTCTTCTCATAATGTCTCTTCCTCCAGTCTGGAGGCTGTTGTTGTGCAGCTGGCCTGGTGCTTGTCAGCTTCCCTCAGACTGATGGATCTCTGGGAAGGAAAGCCAGGAGCTCTTAGTGGGCCTCTTTTCACCTCATCTGTGCAGCTAAAGATTTGACATTCACTTTCCTGAGATAGGATGAAACTCTTTTTTTTGCGAAACATTATGTAAATTTACTCTCTTATGTAAGGAACTCTTAATAATGATGTGTATTACAGCATGCTCATAAGATTAAAGGCAGTACTTTGTATAATGCACCAGCAAAAAAGCAGAGTCCTGAAAAATGTCTAAAAATAAAAATTTTTATAATAGGTTTGATGTTTGTTTTGATGTTTCTGTTTAGGTGCTGACCCCAGCACAAATAAAATCAATTTGCCTGGCCATACTAGAATCAGGAAAGCAGTATGCAGTGAAGAAGAGGAAACCGTTCCCACTTATGTATTCCTACTATGGAACAGAGTATCTCGGTGAGTAAAACACACCAACTACTTGGAAAGTGATGCTGTGTGTAGATGCTGAGCCAGTAGATGCTTCAGAAATAAAATACATAAAACCTACAGTGTGGGATTTCTCCTAAGTTGGGACCATCCAACCTACTAAAACTGTTCAGTGGGGCTGAGGGACTGGAGGGAAGGACTGATGCTGCCTAGCGGTGAAGAACGCGAGAGGTGCCTGTGCCGCACCAGGGGAGCAGCAGGCAGCAGCTTCATTCCCTCTTTGTGCTGCCCTGGTAAATCTGCCCTTGCCAGATGGAGGCAGAGAGAGGTGTGGTGCCTGTGCCTGTGTGGAGAAGATTACCGGAGAGATCTGTCGGGGGACGTTATTTGTAAGCTGCTGTTGCCACGCAGGGGACTCGCAGAGCATTTTTGGCCGTAGTAATGCAACTCAAGCATATGGTCAGCTCCTACCTATTGCAGGCAGCTTAGTTGGAGCTCATCTGAAGCTGCGATGAAGGGTCATTGAGCGGGTCCCTAGTGGGGTCCTCAAGGCACAGTATCACACTGCAGAAAGTGTGAGATTGGTTTGCAGATGTTAGTCAGCAAGTTCTCTGGGAGGGGAGCAGAGGGAGAAGTCACTGAGTGGTGCTGCTCCACAGACCCTGGCAGGTACAGACAATTCTTGCACTGAAATTCAGCTTTTAGCTGACTGATACTGTCAATCAGTAACTGGAAATACCATTTATGGTCCAGTTCCAATATGGGTTCAACAAAGACTTCAGAATAATGGTCCAGATTCAGCAGTGTGTCAAGAAGAATAACTTCTTGGAATAGTATTCACTTTAGGTTCAGTGTAACTTCACACACTGAGTTTCAGTCACATCAAAGTGAGAGCAGATAAAATTCCTATGTATTTTTGCATAGCTTGGGGACCTGGAAAAGACAGAAGTAGTAACAAATCATAATGTCATGCACCTAAAAAGCTTTTATTCCAACCACTATTGTAATATGCTTAAAGAAGATGAAAGAGCCATGGACTTGACAAGGAAATCAGTCCCAAGAGAAAGTTGCTGTGAGATGGAGGTAGGACCTAAACCTACCCTCTCCTTTTGACTATTGCTGTTCTTTACAGGTGCAGCACATGGGCTTTCATCAATCCTTCAGATGTTGCTTTCCTATTATGAGTACCTGCAGCCAGCAGATCAGGAGCTTGTGTGGCAGAGCGTTGATTTTCTTATGGACCAAGAACAGAACAGCAACTGGCCTCCTGAGCTGGGAGAGACAATCGAGCGGGAGAATGAGCTTGTACACTGGTGTCATGGAGCTCCAGGTTCTTTTCCCATTGATACTATGAATAACCAGATGCTGATTAGCATTGCTTTTCCATGTTAAGTCATTCCTGTAAAAGATAATCTCAGGTTAAATTTGACCAATTTTGACGTTTTATGAGATGCAGGCAAATTATTTAGTCTTTTTCTTCCAGTTAAGTGTTTTATTTATTGCTGAAGCAGCTGGAAGGATAGCCATATTTTCTGCCTTAAAAGCATAGGTGATCACAGCTGAAAGAACTCTGGTGAACTGTGTGTTTTCCGCTCTTGCTCCGTTTCATGACAAGACCTCAAAGAATGGTATAGCTGAGTCAAAAGGCAGCATATGGCTGTACAGAGAAATAGTATGTGAAAGAACACAGATACAGACACGTCTGTGAGTTTTGGGAAGGCCTTCAGAATAGCTTCCCCCCTCCCATCAGAATCAAAGTTTGAGCTGCCCTTATTACACGGATAATGCATAAATTTGACCAAAGTATTTTCATCTGAAGGGGAGTTTGTACTAGCAAGAGGTATTTTTTCTGTAAGTCACCCATATAAAGCTGCTTTTCAGAGAAAAAGAGAATCAATCCTTAGTTGGGGTTCATGAGGTAAGACTGATGTCTGTCAATTCGGAATCTAATCCTATACTTTAGCAATTTTGGCAAATAATGTTGTGTATTGGAATTGCTTTTTTACCCCCAGGCAGAATTGTATTGCCAACTAGTGATATTGGCTTGGTAACATGAACCTTGAAGGTTACAGAAAAACTTACTTTTATTAAAGAATGTCCATGAGCATTGATGCATTGCTTTTAAAGGTGTTCTACTTAAATTAGAAAAAGTACATTATAATTAACATCCCTTAAATATGCTTTCTGCTGATGCATTATCTTTTTGTTGGTATGATTAAGGAACAAACTTCTTGCTCTCACACTCTAATGAAATAAAGTGAAAATGGCTTTTGCTTACTAACTTTTTTTATTTTTAAGAGGAAAAAAATTACTTCTACAACATGGCTGACCTAGTGATGAAACCTGCAGGGAGGATGCCCTCTTTGTTTCAGTATCTTGAGAGTGGCCTTTGACTTGGGTTTAACTGCCAGTGGAGACATAGGCATTGACACTCAACCAAAGTGACAAAATCCCAAAGGGCATAAAGAAGTTACTTTAGGAGACATTTAGAGACATGTAAATTCATCAATTGGTATTGGTTTTCCCCAGAAAATCCTGTATCCCATCACTGTTCTTGAGTAAAAATGGACATCTATTTTACCACAACGCTTTTCAGCTACTTCAGTGTATATTATATTCAGACCACAAGTGAGCTATTCTAAACGTTTCCTTAGGCACTTGATTTGGTTATGTGTCATATGCATTCTTTTAAGGTTACCATGAACTGAGCTGTGCAGTGCTCTGTTGAAGATTATGGTTAATTTATTTGAATCCCCTCTAAAAATAAGCCAAATAATAGGTTTTCGTTTGTTTGTTTGTTTTTAACAGAAGTTAGTATGCATAACTGTTTATAACTAGAATAAAGCAGCATGGGCCCCACTGGGAAAAAAAAAAACAAGTTTCTTCTTCTCATTCAGTAAAAAATTGTATCTGTTGCCAGTGTAAGAATTAATCTTGCCCACCCTTGTGTTTCTGTCAGTGTAAACAGGTGAGGTGAATGGGGATTTGAAACCAACAGAAGCCAGTGCTATGCATTTACTGTTTTAAAGGCAAAAATGTGACTACTGTTTAAATTGATAAAAGACTGGGAATGTTAGAGTAAACCCAGAAATTCAGTAATGCATTGAAAAGATTGAAAATGGTGTTGTCAAAGGGAGTGGATAAGTACATCATGCTGTGTGCTTTTTAGCATACCAGATACTCTCCCTTCCATATGTAGCATATAGATATGTAACGTTGACATCTGTATGTAGAGCATGAGACTGCAGTTTTTTAGTGTATTAATCTTTATTATGTGTTCTACGAAACGCTTGGCCTACTCACTACAAAAGACAATCTCACTGCTGTTTCCCTAGGCATTGCGTACCTGTTTGCCAAAGCTTACCTGGTTTCCAAGAAGCCTCAATATCTGGACACTTGTATCCGCTGTGGAGAGTTAACTTGGCAGAAAGGCCTGTTGAAGAAGGGACCTGGAATATGCCATGGAGTGGCTGGTAGTGCTTATGTGTTCCTGCTGCTGTATAGGCTCACTGGAAACTC